ACAGAGCAGGGTGGGCGGGCGGCGGCAGGGCCTCCACCCGGTGGGATGATGCTGAGGATCTGGGAGCTCGTGGTTGCTGGGCAATGAGGAGCTTCGCTCAAAAACGGTGTTGGCTGGTCTCGGAGGCCGAGGGTGGCTGAGCTGGTTCTGACGTTGGCGACTGGAAAGAGGTCGGAGGGTGGTCGGGGGCTGGAAGAAGGGGGTCGCTGGGTCCGTTTCATCCAAACACCGTTGAAGCAAGAGGCCAATCCGGGGACCCCGAGGGCGCTGCCAGCTGTGAAGGATTTTGAGGGGACAGGTTCTAAGGGGTCTTAGCGCCCCACGTGTCTGTTGGTGCTTTCACGGAGGAGCTAGTGGGTCCCTGTGATGAACACTCAGGCCGTTTGCTTGGGCCGGACAGTTCTGGAAAGGTAGGCCAGGCCCATGGAGAGCGTGTCACAGCCAAGGCCTGTGACTGTGGGCAATGACGTGCGGCTGGGGTCTCAGCGTGCAGGCTGGGCTTCGGGAGACCGTCTGGGCTCTTAAAGACAATGAAAACGGAGCGATCGGCTCGGCCGGTGTGGCTCTGTGGGTTGAGTGTCGTGCTATGCTCCAGGAGGTCGCTGGTTCGATTCCCTGTTAGGGCACATGCCCATGTTTCAGGCTCGGTCCCCAGTAGGGGGCGTGCAGGAGGCAGCTGATGTTTCTCCCTCTCCCTTCTTCTCTCTGATATCAATTAAAAAAATTGTTTTAAAGGAATACTGAGCCAGTATTAATGAACACCACCTTTGTATATTATCTATAACCACAGTTCCTTGGCCCATGTATGGGGATAAAATGAGTGTTAGAGTGAAGTGTGTGTAAACCAGAGGATGCTAGTTACACTCTGGTGATGATTAGGCCTCGAGGCTTGAGGGCTGGAACCTTGAAGATCTTTGTCTTCCCCTGATGATCCTAAAGCAGTGAGAGCGAGAGCGAGAGAGCGAGCGAGATCCAGCCTGAGAGCCATCAGGGCGTGACCATCACCCCCGGTGCGGGCGGCCTGGCTGCAGAGCCAGGTGTGCGGGCATTTGGTTTCTGCCCATTTCAAGTTTCCAGAGTCCCAGGTATTTGAGGATTTGAGGCAAATATATATATATATTTACATACACACATATCTACACACACACATATATCTACACACACATATACACATACACACATATACATACACACATACACATATACATATACATATACATCCTATATAATAAAAGGCTAATATGCAAATTGTCCCCTTGACCAGGAGTTCGACCAGGGGACAGTCACCCGTGGCCCCTCCCCCCAGCCAGCCGGGCCCAATTAGCCCCGATCAGGGTGTGCTGGCTGGACCCCACCCAAGCACGAATTCGTGCACTGGGCCTCTAGTATATAGATATTAGCGCACTATAAGGTTTGGGATAATATGCATTGGAAGGCCACATCCCGCATTTACTATCTGCCCTTAGCCTGTCCTAGAATGTGCCCCTCTGGGGTCACCTGGCCTCGCCCAGATGGCAGGGGCCACCAGACCCCCCACAGAAACACCTGACTGGGGGCCTGTGCTGGGAGACCCTGCCTCCTGCTCAGGCTGGCTTTGGGGGTCCCCCCTGCTGGAGAGGGGTGCTCAGTGGTGTTCTTGCCCCACCTGTCAGGCTTGCTTTCTAATGAAAGCCACACTGGACGGGGTGTTTATTCTCAGAAGCAGCTGTGAGCAAGCACCTGTGTGTGTGAGCCCCCCCCAAAATCAGCAAGGCTGGGGGGGGGTTCCAGAGAGAGCCACACAGCCAGGGGGGTGGTGGGGTGTCGGGAGGGTTGATTCCCAACCATCAGCCCCAGGCCTACAAGAAGTTGCCTTTTCTCTATGAGCATCTGCCCCAGGCACTTGGCGGAAGTCTCTACCAGATTCCAACGTGAGGGGCTAACGGGGCGGATGTGTTGTTTAAGTTAAATCCACTCACAAAGACCTCGGCTGCAGTGGGGGGCCATGTCAGCTTTCTGATACCATCAGCAACTGCCTAGAAAAGCAAAAAAATAAAGCAAGCAACAGCACCCCAAAACCAAAAAGAAAACAGCAACAAAACCCACCTTTTAATTGATTTATTTTTTATTTTTTTAAGGCTTCATTTAAAGATGAAGTGGGGTTCATTTCCAAGGGTGGGCTGGGGAAGGAGGGTGCCCAGACCGGCCTCCCCCGGCGGCCCCAGCGGGGCAGGGCCCGGTGCCTCCGCCTCCCTCGGCCGAACCCCTCCCGGCCCCTCCCGGCGGCCAGACCCAGAACAAGACAGGAGCCTGGTGACCGCTCATGTGTGGCCCGTCCGATGAAGGGGCTTTTCATTAACGGAGCCACGGCCGGTGTCATCTTCCCTGGACTCGGATCCTTCGCGATTCGCACAATGTGTTATTATTGTATTTTTAATTGAAATGTAAATTCTGGGAACACGCTGACCCAATTTACTCCCAGGGAAAAAAGGGCAAAATTCTCATTTTCAAGGCTCTAGAAATGCAAGTTAGTGTTATTAATGATTAAGCCCTTTTTCCTGCGCCCCCCCCCCACCCCCGGCTGCTGGGCGGGGGCCGGAACGGACCTTCTTACCCGGGCACAACGGTAAAGTTACCCCGTCCTCTGAGCACGCATTTGATCGGCTGGGGAGATCGCCGGGTGGGGAGCTGGCCTCGTCCCCCCTGCCGGTCCTGGGGTTCACACCTGGGCCCCAGGAAGTGGCTGGAGTGTCTCCATGTGGTTTCGGGTTTTAAATGACCGTGATGATGATGGACGTGTGATTAAGCGATTGATTTGCTGAGGAGATTACGGCCCCGTCTAGTTTTTTTGTTTTTAAAACCTCTCTTTGTAAAAACAGAACCGAGTGGAGACAGGACGAGTCAGGCATGGGTTCAGACGTTGCCCACAAACGTCGTACGCGCACTCCCCACTGGCGGATGTTTCTACAACTTATACTGGAATCCGACACTTAGGGCACCCGCTCCCCTTTGCACAGAAGGCAGAGAGAAGTCACTAGTCTACCCACAGGCATTTACTGAGTCCTCACCGGGTGCGGGGCGCCAGGAGGTGGGTGAGAAAGGCAACGCGCATACTTCCTGCCTTCCCACTTAGTGTTGGGGGCAGCTCCGTGTCACCTTGTCAGAGAGGAATCCCCGTCCCCCCCGGCCGAGGCACCCCCACTCTCACCGGTGTCTGTCCTTGGCCCTTTAAATATTTCCTTCATAGAGTCGATCATCACTGATGATCAGGACCAACTGGGCTCTAGCCCATGTTGCCCAGTGGATAGAGCACCGGCCTGGTGAAGGAGTGGAGGGGAGAGCAAGAGAACCCTCCGCTCTTTCGGCTCCACGGGCCGGATAGAACAGCCGAACGGGCCAGATCCGGTCCGTGGGCCATAGTTTGCCCACGGCTGGGATAGAGCGTCTGCCTGCAGAGTGAGGGGTCCCAGGTTCGATTCCAGTCAAGTTCAAGGGCACATGCCCAGGTTGCGGGCTTACTCCCCAGTAGGGGGCATGCGGTCTTAGGCGACCCTGTGAAAGGGTCATTCCACCGCCAAAGGGGTCGCGACCCACAGGTTGAGAACCGCTGGTCTAGGCTGATGGGGAATCTGGGGCACCCCTCTTTCCCGTTCCCCCAGAGTCAAGGGGCAGAGTTGCCCCCACTTCCTGGATGGGTCATGCTCACAAGAAACAGAAAGAACCAACTCGAGCCCCTGGTCCGGACCTGCTTCTCTGCCAGAGCCGGAGCCGCCAGGGGACAGAGAGGAGCCGATTCGCTCACCCTCTTCCTGTGACTCTTCAGCAAAGTACGGTGGCTTCCTGCGAGCAGAGCGGAAACAAATGCACTTCGGAGAGGCGGGCTGAAAGCAGGCCGCAGGCAGGGACCCGGGCTGGAGCCGCGGGCCATCAGCTCGCCCAGCCCCACAGGGAGCCGTGCAGGGCTGCCTGCCCTGGCCGATCCCCAGGCGGAAACCTGGGCAGGAGCGGGGGTTCTTTTTACAGAAAATCGGCATTTCATGCGTGGACTCCTAGGGCGTGGATCAAACGTAGGAGAGGGGGCGGGAGGAAGGCAGGCACGCCGTGTGGACGTCGGGGAGGTGGTGGTGATGGTGGTGGTGTGATAACGCCGTAGCAGGAGACGGGTGGCCCGCCGGCATGGCTCGGTGGTTGAGCGCCGACCGATGAACCAGGAGGTCACGGTTCCATTCCCCGGGGGCAGGTGCCCGTTCTTGCAGACACCGGGACAACGCAGAACGCCCAGAGCTTTCTCCGGGGCGGCATGCGCTCCTCATCAGTGTGTGGGCCACAGCCCCGCGTGCCGGGCACAGGGAGGGGGCGAGAGGAAAGGGGGCGACCCCGTTCATCAGGGGGGAGTCCCGCGGAGGCAGGCGTGCATCTGTCCGTCACAGCAGCAATTCAGAAAGGAGCCCCAGGAAGAGGTCACACTGTGTGTGCAGGGGAGAGGGAGGGAGCTCTGGGCTGGGGGTGGCCAGAGAGGCTCCCGGGAAGGGGTGCTCACCTGCCTGGGGGTCTTCGTAAGAGACGGACAGGATCGTCTGTGCCCTGCCCTGAGGACGTTCTCAGGAATGAACTATAGAACAACGAACCATGCGACACAGAGTCTTCAATCCTTTCGGGAGGAGGAGGTTGTCAGGGTTCTGGACCCTTCCGTCAAGTCCCTTGCAGGCAGCATCACGGATGGGCCCCCAAGCATCTCAAACCCAACTTGACCTTCCCATCCGGACTCGCCATTCCCTCCCCAGGCCTCTGGCGTCCTAGCTCAGCCCTGGCCTTGCTGTGTGACCTCGGAGAAGTTCCTCAACCTCTCTGAACCTCTGCGGCCTCGTCACGAAAGAGGGAGACTGAACACATCAGCCCTCTTTGGTCCCGGTGACTCTAAAACCCAACAAAAGGCGGAAAACAAAGACTCCACAAAGAGTAGCGAGTGTTATCCGTACCCACACAGTTCCCTTACGCACGGGGCCCGGTTTCCCGGGGGGACCTTGCGCAGCCCCTCGGATCCGGGTGGGGAGGCCTGGGATGGTTTGTGCCAGAAGCTGCCTCCGCTGAAAAGTCCCCACCCCCGGAGCCAAGGCCACGCACACCACGCGGGGGGCCCATCGGGCCATCTCGTCTTCTTGCCGCACAAGCTCGCG